TACTAGTTTTTATTCAGTGTAATTTATTGAATAATTCCACAACCTTGATATAACTAAGTATTTTCATATGTTCATAACATTTGATAGAGGCCACTCTATTTTAAGAACTGCATGATTGCATTATTTTATTCATAGGGTCTATAATATATTTTATAAAACATAATTTTACGGCCCTCCCTGGTGGCGCAGCAGGTTAAAGCACAGCACTGAGAATCTGAAGCCGCTTCCGCATGAGTTTGATCCCCGCCTGCCCCGGAGGTGACCACATGGCGTGGCAGACCTCTCCTAACTTGCCCGCTGTTCCCCTCAGCAGTGTACTTTGTCGATCTGCCTGTTCTGCTCCCCACTCTGTCTCTGGTGAAGCCTCTCGCCGCCCCTGAGCCTCTGGCCTGTACCCTAGTTCTGTATGAACAAATAAATAAATCTTTAAAAAAACCCATAATTTTACAAAAAATAACTTTTCCCTATAATAAGCAGTCTAATTAAACATTACTGATTTTTTTAAAAGACAAATTTGCAAAGAAGTTATTCTTCTCTATACTCTAACATCTGAACTTAAATTCCTGTCTTTATTATCATTAGAACAAGCAATAATTTCCTTGGCCTATTTCTGAACATTTTAGAGACATCTACTGGAAAAGCACATTATTGCAAATTTTACAAAATTGGTCTAAAATGTCTCTTGCTACTGATATCTCTAAAAAATGTCTTGAATATCACAGAACATTATGAGGGACCTATCTAAAGACAAAATTCTGTGACCCTCAAAAAGGTATAATTAAAAAAAATTACTTTGTTGGTGGACTTAATGTTCCTTTTTGAAAGTAATGGTCTATTCACTCGGACTTTTTTTTTTTTCCCCCATTAAAGGGACTAGGGCAATGGAAAGAATCCAGGTTTATCTTTGTAAAGGGACTAGGGCAATGGAAAGAATCCAGGTTTATCTTTGAACAGGAGACAGGAATAGAGGCCTCCCTGGTGGCCTAGGGTTTCAGTCTCAGCTCTGCCACCACCATGGCCTGAGTAAGATCCCCAGCTAGGAAGCTAACCCACATACCGCACAGCAGACCTCTCCTGTCTCCCCTGCCTGCTCCCCTTATCAGTGAATTTCAGGGAATCTGCCTGTTCTGCTCCCCACTCTGTCTCTGCTCCAACCTTCCTCCCAACCCCCACAACTCTTGTCTATACCCCAGTTCTTCTACACAAAAATTAATCAATTAAATTTTTTTTTTTTTAAGAAGACAGGACTACAAGGGTAAGCAGCTACCTGCCAAGGGAATCTGTGTACTCTTAACCTCCCTGGGATCTTGCTTGAGTTGTGCACAACCAAATCAAAGATGCTTAATCTTGCTTTGTGCTCAAGAAAGAGTTGAATGATTAAAAAAAAGAAAAAAAAGTTTTTATTTTGTTAAAAAAAATCAGTTTAACTACTGATTTTCTTTCAGTGATTTATTTATTTATTCATATAGAACTGGGGTACAAGCCAGTGGTGCAGGGGCAGTGAGAGGCTTCACCAGAGACAGAGCCAGGAGCAGAACAGGCAGATCTACAGAAATATACTGCTGTGGGGAGCAGCAGATGGGTCAGGAGAGTCTGCTGCACCATGTGGGTCACGTCTGGGGGTGGGGGGTCAAACTTGTATTGAAGTGACTGCAGCCAGCTTGCAGTGCTGCGACCTAACCCGTTGTGCCACCAGGGAGGGCCCTACTGATTTTTTTTAGGTTTTCAAAAATATCTATCTATCTAATCTAATCTATCTATCTATCTATCTACTTTGTAAAAGAACAGGAATGTAGGCCAGAGAAGGGTTGGGAGGATTCAACCAGAGACAGAGTGGGGAGCAGAACAGGCAGCTCCACAGAAATACACTGCTGACGGGAGCAGCCCAAAAGACAGAAGAGGTCTGCTGTGGATCAGCTACCTGGCTGGGGATGGAACTCAGGCCACAGTGGTGATAACCTTGAGTTATTACCTAAATTGCAGTAAAGAGTGCATGTGTGGCAATTCAGTAATATAAAGAGAATAATAGAGATAAGGCAGCAGGAAGAACTACCCAGTGGGTTGTGAATCACAGCACCCATCCTAACAGGTTGGGAATGAATCTGTGGGAGTGACGGGATGGAGAAAAGGACAAAAAGTGGCAAAGACCTAAGAGTTCAGTTGCTGGCAGCTCCATTTATAACTTGATATATTGACTTGTTTTATATACTGAAAACAAAAATATCTCCTTGCTGAATTTTAAATAAAAATAAAATTGTGATTTATATTAATAAAATTTATGTTGTCTATGGAGAGGAAAATTATTGGGGAAGCAGGGATTTGTGAAATTTATGTAGTAATTTACTCACTTTCTATAAATAAAATAATCTGATGTCTTGAAGGACGAGCACTGAAGTAATTATCTTGGTAGCTGTGTAACTAGGATATTCCAAACCCTTGAGGGCTCTGAAGAGCTTAAAGAATGGATCAGCCACACTGATTATTCTTGCTACATTTGAGGCTGCTTGTCATATAAGGCAGTGTGGAAAGTGATGTCAAAAGGAAACCTGACAATTTTCTCTCTGTATGAGGATAAAAGACCATTGGCACATACATAAAATGTGATAAAAAGGAGACTGAGAATTGGCGTGTAACTGGCTAGGAATAAGAAGGGGAAAATGTGAGGGAAACAAACAAGAATAGAGATAGAATAAGTAATGGTTCAAGGGATGAAGGGACACGAGAGTTGCTGACTCTATCATGCATAGTATAAATTTCATCAGCTTTTATGTACAGCAATAAAAGTGAAGAGGATGGTCAGAATATTGGAGTAACAGTAGCTTCTTTTGGAATCACAGTTATATTAGAATTGGTTGTACGACATGATACAATGAGCATATCTGCCATCAGAACATCATTCCTACCACAGATTTCATTAGAAATATCTTTCCTCTGTAACTTGGTCAGCAGACATCTGAATTGTGAGTAGTTCTAATTGACAAAAGTCATAGACCTATTCTGGGATATTTCTCTTAATGGGGCAAACATAACAATTTGTAAATGTATGATTAAAGATATCCACAGTTGTTCCAAATAGAACACAAGATGTCATTAAACAAGCAAAGCTATTATCTGAATTCAATTTAAATATTTCATATAATATTCTGTAATAAAAGGGATGACAGTACATCATAGGTACTCAAAACTGTCAGCTAGTCTTTGTTTCTTTTGTTTATATATATAATGATGAAACCCCAAGTGTTTTTCTTTCTAAGTGTACAGAGTCACCTGTGGTAATAAATAATCGATTGGTAGGAATACACGACAAAGCAGGCAGCCACAGCCACCCTCATCAGCGGGGCCTCTGACAATTTTGACATACAGACTTTGCTCCATGCCACGTGTCCACATTCAGCCTTTCGTGTGCACTAGGGTGTGTAATGACATCCTAAATTTCTAGAAAGATATTCTGTAAAAAAAAAATCTTTAAAAAGCAATATGAAGTTAATACTTCTAATATACCCTTCTTCATGTAAGAGAAATACAAAACCAAATCTTATTCTTTAATATATAACTAACTGCTATTAGAAATTTTAAGTATCCTTCTAAAAGTCTAGATACAATTATATTTTACGAATGTGAAAATATATGTGTACCATGAAAGTCAGAAATCATTTGAAATACAGTAGCATATTTGGATCTTTAAGAATGTGCTAATGTGCTAATACTAATCCACATTTGGATTTTTTAGAATATGCTAATATTGTTTCCAATATTTTGTTTAAAAGTTTATATGAAAAAGTTTAAATATAGTATATCTTCGTACTACTCTGTAAAAATGTTTAGAATTTATACAAGATGTCTGAAATTCAGTCTAGTGAATTTGCCTACACATTCTGGGTGAATGGGTTAGAAGAACTACATGTAATATCCCTAACTAAACTGCATTCTTAGAGCTTTTATATTACAATTTTCTTTTCCTTAATGTGAGTCATAATGGTTTCTCCACACTCACATTAATTTTTAATCACAGTCTCTTACACTGCTGATTGAATTCCCCACCACTACTAATGGGTTTTTGTAATATTCATTTATTTGAAATGTATGCTGATGCCATATCTTATTTTTCAAAGGAAACCTGTTTAAAATGAAAAGCAAGATAATTTCACATGGATGTTAGGCCACAGTAGTGCCATGTGTTTGATCAGTTTTGTTCCCACAAAATGTTTAAAATCTCAGTTGAAAAAGATTGCTCTATTAAGATATTTTTAAAGGAAAATTATTCATGCTTTATTTGTAAATTCTTTAAAATTGAATTGTTTCATAAGCATATTATCTCAAATAAACAAATTGGAACAAAACTGAAGAGCAGTTTTATATTTATATAGGCTCACTTCTAAGACCTAAAGTTACTTTACTTAAAAAATAATTAAGACTTCTGATAGTCTAAAAATCATCAGAAAAAAAAGTAATTATAGTAAAGTAAAAACCACAATCAACAGGCAGCTATAAACCATAGATACTTTGCAAGGAGCCGGGAGGAGGTGAGGAGGAGAAGGATCAAAATAGGGGTGGGAAGAACACAAGGGGCTATTGGTGATAATTTCACAGGGATTATACCCAAGAGGATAAAGCATGCGACGTATACATTTTATAAATATGAAGATTATATAAAATATGGAGAGAAAATTTTAAAAAATTAAAAGATTTCTGATATTTTAATAAGACATACCTCCTTAGCATTTATTTAGGATCAAATAAGATGTTGGTGAAATCTCCATCTACTCATTATATAAAACTAATGTGAAAATGCAAGGGGAAGCTAAAGGATAGCTTGTTACTAAATATAAAAGGATAGCTGTTACTAAATATAACAGCTACCATGATAGGAGGAGCAAGCTTATTAGCTACTTGTTTATTCACCTTGGCTCAGAAGAGATTCTTTTCTTTACTGGAATCTGTTGCTAATTTTCAGAGGTTTCCTTTTGGCTTCTACTTGTGAAATTAATATTAGAATATACCTTTTAATTGACATTGTGCTCCACTGAATCCAGGGCAACACTTCCATTCCAATGAGGTAACAATTTTGTGTTGCATCCTATACACAGGAGTTGATATCTTCTGAAATCTAGAAAGGAGAGCAATTGGGAGAAAATGGATCATTGTGTCACATTCAATTACCACATGAAATGATAAATGTAAAGTATTTGGGACAATGACTGAAATATAGTATTAAATATATATATCTATTGTTGTTATTATCATCTTCAATATTATCTATCATAAAGCTTAGATTTCTTTAAATGCATTGTGGAAACATTAGGGATTACACTGTTTCTTTGTATTTATGCCTCTTCTTAAATTTTCTAATGCTACTATAGCATTTCCCTCTGAAATACTTCCACAAAATCAATGTCAGATTCTGTTTTAATTCCAGTTTTAAATAGTAAGGGTAAATTATTTTATTTCAATTCTCATCATTTGTATATCCCTATATTAAGGATCTATTTTTCCTCCAGGTCAATATCAAACAACTTAACGTTAGTGATCTCATTGAAATAAGATAAACATTATCATTTTCAGTTTGTACTTTATTTCCCAAGTTTTAATATTATAGTCTCTATTATTTTTCTCATACAATATTTCTCTGAGTGGGAGGGATAAGTATGAGAAAATATTATTTCTGAGGAGAAACAAGCAACATTTCCACAGAAAAATCAGAATAAAAACTAAATGTTACTCATACATACCTCCTAGCTGTATTTTTCTTATCTCTTTTTACTTCAATATTTAGTTAATATGTGGCAAATGAGTCTGTGAAGTAAGCGGATATTCTTTTTGTTTAATCCTCATATTACTTTTATGAGGAGAGTGTTATTATCTTGATTTGCTGGGGCTGAGCCTGAGGAATAGAGAGATGAAATACCTTGCGCAAAATCCTGTAACTAAAAGTGATGGAGCCTGTATTTTAATGCAGATGGTGTGAGTTAGCATCTTCTGTTATTGTTTTAGAGTTTGCTATACTTATGTGCCAACAGTAGTGTCAGTTTTATTACCAAATTGTAATTATATATACAAAAGCATTACAACTGATTGGGCTTTCAGGAACTTGAGTTTTGATTTCTATTTTAACCTGACAGACAATTGAATATGTGTGAAGTTATGCCTCAATTTAAAATGAACTATAGGGCCCTCACTGGTGGTGTAAGGGGTTAAGTCACAGCACTATGAAGCTCTCCATAGCCAATGCAGGTTGCTGACCCACATGGCACAGCAAATGTCTCCTGTCTGACCCGCTGTGCCCTCAGCAGAGGACTTCAGTCATTCTGCCTTTTCTGACCTCTGGTGAATCTTCCTTGGCCTTTACCTCAGTCTTTGTATGCATAAATGAATTAACCTTTAAAAAATAAAAATGAATTATAATTTGGTCTTGGAGAAAGTATCATCATCCCCGCCCCGCCCCCCCCAGCTACCATGGCTTCTTCAGCCAGCTTCCCAACACTCTGAGTAGGTCCAGGTGAGTAGGAACAATCCAACCTCAAAAAGGAGGAACAGACAGAAACCCCAGGATCCCCAGGCACAACTGCATACCCCATCCAGAATCCTGGGAATAGACCCTGATAAGAGACCAGGTTAAACTTAAAAGAACAGAAGCTATACCCATGGCTGGGCAATACAAAAACAATGGGGAGAAGGAAAAATAAACAACCACATAAGCCCATGGGAACAAAGCACCAGAGAAAAACAAATCACCAGAACCAAACCAAAAAGAAATGGAAAAGATAGTCTTTCTATCAGATGCAACCTTCAAAATTATGTGACAAATAAATAAAATGATAGAAGAGTGCAAAAAAAAAATGCAGAAAGGCAGATGAATTTCATATGAATGAGATCAATGAATAAAAGACCCAAACTGAAAAAAAAAAAGGAGATTCAGGGCATAAATAGAACATTAGAGGAGGCAAAAAAATTTACATGAGAAAGGTGTGGAAATAGCATAGACTAAATAAGAGAATGAATCAATGTCCCTGAAGATGTAAATGAACAAAGAATCCAGATAGAACAGAAGAAAAGAAAGAAATAAATAAATAAAGACATACTCCGAATAGCATCTGATTCCATAAAGAAAGGAAATATAAGAATAATGCAGATACCAGAGGGAAGAGTGAGAGAGAAAGAGAAAAGAACAATAAATGTATTTATGATATCAGTAGCTGAGGCCCTAAACTGTTACAGGTTGTGTCCCCTGGAGGGGTTTGCTGGTAAAAAAAAAAAATAGATCACCCCCAGAAAAGTGCTAAAAAGGGGTGAAGCAACAGAAAAAGTATATAAGGGAGCTCTGACTACATGTGGGGTTCAAGTTCCAGACAAAGAAAAAGTCTTGAAGCTAGCAAAAAGCTAACACCTGTGTTCTCTGAAGTAATACTTTCAGCAAGGAGAGAAAGGAATGATGTGTTTCAAATACTTACAAAAAAAAAACAAAAAAACAAAAAAACTACCAGCCAAGAATACTCTATCCTGCAGAATCTCCTTCAAATATTAGGAAGACATAAAGATCTTCAAGACAGACAGAAACTGAAGAAATTTGCAAACACTAGCCCTGCCTTCAAGAATACTTAAAAAGAGTTCTTGCCTCTAACCCAAAGAAGGTAATATTTATAAAGAACTGAACAAAGAAATAAGTAGAGCCAAAAGCAAGCAAACAAACAAACGAAATGAAAGATAAAATGACAGCAACAGATTCACCAATTAAAAGGCACAGAGTATTCAGCTGTCTGAAAAAATGAAACTATACTATTGTCTCACACCACACACAAATTCAACTCAAAGCCGATAAAAAAAAAATCCTTGAATATAATACCTGAAATCTTAAAATACATGGAAAAGAACATAAACAAATTAGTCCATGAAATAAACTTCAAAAACATATTTGAGAACACATCTCCAGAATCAAGAAAAATGAAGGAAAGATAAACAGCTAGTACTATATCAAATAAAAAGTTTGTAGGACCTCCTTGGGGGCATAAAGGTTATGTCTCAGCACTATCAGCACTGCAGCCTGAGTTTGATTCCTGCTAGGCAGCTCACCAACATATGGCACAGCAGACCTCTCGTGTCTTGGCCTATTGCTCCCCTTAGCGGTAAATTTCAGCAAATCTGCCTATACAAATCTTTCTCTGGCACATCTTCTCACCCCCTACACCTCTGGCCTGTACCCCACTTCTTCTTCATGAATAATAATAAATAATTATCTAAAAAATTAAAATAAATTAAAAAGTTTTTGTTCAGAAAAAGAGACAGCGAAGCCATAATGAAGATGCAGCCCACTGAATGGAGAAAATATTTATTTAGCATAAAATGATAAGGGGCTAATATCAAAGAACTGCAGAGAGCTTATACAATCAACAAAAATAAAGAAAATAAGCCAGTTTAAAAAATGGGTAGAAGGGAAAGAAGAAGTAAAACTGTCCTTATTTGCAGACAATGTTAATTTACATGGAAAACCCTAAAACTCCACAGAGAAATTAATCAAAGCCATCAACCAGTTTAGCAAGGTAGCAGGATATAAAATCAACACACAAAATCCTATACACAAACAACCAATCAGAAGAAGCAGAAATAATAATAATAATAATAATCCCCTTTTTAAGTAAAACAAAAAAGATCAAATCAACCTAACAAAAGAGGTAAAAGACCTATACAAAGAAAATTACAAAACACTGTTAAAGGAAATTCAAGAAGATATCATGAAATGAAAAGACATTCCACTGCTCATGGACCTGGAGAATTAACATCATCAAAATGGCCATCCTACCAAAACCAATATACAGATTTAATGCCATCCCAATAAAAGTCTGACATTTTTCAAAGAAATGGAAAAACTATTGATGAGATTTATATTGAACAACAAAAGACCTCAAATAGCCAAAACCCTCATGTCTAAGAAGAATGAGAATAGACGCATTACAAACCCAAACTTCAAGCTATACTACAAAGCTATAACAATCAAAACTGCATGGTACTGGAACAAGAACAGACATACAGACCAGTGGATGCAAATAGCAAACCCAGATATAAACCCATAGGTTTATGGGCAGCTAATCTTTGACAAAGGAACAAATAATATATAATAGAAAAAAGAAAGTTTTTCTTCAGCAAATGGTGCTGGGAAAACTGGGAAGCAACATGCAAAAAATGAAACTAGATCA